GCTCACAAGGGAGCAGCCACAGTTACAAGCAGAAAATTATAAGGGATAGCTAATTATTTCAATGATCCATGTTTGTAGAATGATACCTGTCACAGTTCAGGTTTTACTAATGGCAAATTATCAGTCTTCTTTCCTGATAGCCAGTACATTTTATTATAGTTAAAGGGATAAATTAAATATGCCAGATCCCTTTATGTATCAGAATGTGTGTGTGTGTGTGTGTGTGTGTGTGTGTGTATCCCATTAGATCACTATTAGGTATAATATATTGAGATAGTATAGTATAATGGCAATAAAGACAAATCAGCAAATACATGTATATTGTGAGACCAAAACTCTTGCTTGAGACTGAGGAATTTCTGAAATCAAAGGGCTTACTGAATTTTCACAGGTATCGGACCAAATCCTGAGAAACGGTCCTATAGCTTCCCATAGCAAGGCTGGATAGCAGTTGGAAAACTGTCCACTGGGCCTAAGAGAATTTTAAACTTGGGACTGGAGAGATGGCTCCATGGTTAAGAACACTGGCTATTCTTGCAGAAGACCCGGATTCGATTCCCAGCACCCACATGGCAGCTAACAACTGTCCGTAACTCCAGTTCCAGGGGATCGGATGCCCATTTCTGGCCTCTGCAATCTTGGATGACACGGGTGTATTGCATGTGGTCAATATACTCATAACACATAAAATAAAAATAATAAAATATTTTTTAAAAAGGAAAAAAGAAAAACAGAGTATTTTAAACTGAAAATTCTAAGGAAGGAAAGCATGGCTGTTTACATGGATCCTGCATTGCATAGTGTGTATTGGGGAACATGTAGCTATAGGACTGTCCATAAGAAGTAACTGGGGGGAGGTGAGGGCTAAAGAGATGACTCAGTGGTTAAGAGCTCTGACTGCTCTTGCAGAGGACCCAGGTTTGGTCCCCAGCACCCATATGGCAGCTAACAACTATTTGCAACTCCCACTCCCTCTTCTGGCATCCATGGCATGCAAGTATAGGTATACTTACATACATGCAGGCAAAACATTCATACACATAAAATTTTTAGTAAGAAGTAATTGTGCATTTGATGTGGTTGGGTCTTCAAGCAGGACACATGCTGCCAGGAGGTTAATGATAATAGTTCAGAGTTTAACACATTGGGCTGGGGAATAGTTTTGTTGGCAAAGTACTTGCCCTATAAGCACGGAGACCTAAGTTTGATACCCCAGAACCCACCTGAAGATGCCAGATGTGGTGGCAGTGTTTGTAATCCCAGTGCTGGGGAGGCAGAGAACAGGCAGGCAGATTCCTGGGACTTGCTGACCAGCCTGCCTAGCTGCTTCAGGGAGCCCTAGGCCAGTGAGAGACCCTGCTCAGAACACAAGGTGGATCCTCCTGAGGAAGAAAACCAAAAGTTGACAGCTTCTTGTTTCTATATATAAGCGTGTATACAGCACGCGCGATTTTAACATACATTCACGAATATGAAACAATCTTTAGTTTTTGTTGCTTTACCTATTCTACCTTTCTATTTCTCTATTGTCTACTCTTGAAATTAAATTAAAGACTTCCCAGTGTCTTTTTTTTTTTTCCTTACCAGATGTATTCTGTCTCTTAAAGAGCTTATATATGAAATCAGACCTGCTAAGGAGTAAACCAAGTGGAAAATAAAGTTGTGCATAAAAATATTAAAAGTATCTCACCCTTTTCATGTTGTTCATTCTAAATTATCTCGAAGACCAAATCATTAAATGTGGGCTTAACATATGGGTTGCTCAAGGAAAATTGAGTAGTAATTTGTTTGTTTTATAGACTCTTGCTATTGTCGCATATGAAAAGTCATTTTACTGTCTTTTCCTACCATAATATGTTTTAAAGTGTTATGATTATGCTTTAGTATGTAACATTAGATGCTCTGAGTTTATAGCTCAGAACTGTTTAAATATTAATAGGTCTATTAACAACTATGAGACTGTGGAATATGTAGTAGTTAATTTTCTTTATTTTTCCTTTTATAATATACAGTGTCAGTTAATGTATGCATAGTTACATAAAATTAAAGAAAATTAAATTATTTATATTAAATTCTGTTTGGTTTTGTCACAATTCTTTTTTCTTTTTTCAATAAAGATGACCTTAGGTATCCTGGACCCTCTGATACTTAGACATCTACTGAATACCCAAGTTTCCATTTTATTTTGGACACTGATTATCTAGCATTGGAGCATATCCCCCCATAGTGTAAGGACTCCTCCAGAGACAGCCCCACTTTAGATGCCATTCACATATCACAGATTATCACTTCTTTCTGATCTTGTCCTTCAAGGTTGTTAATTGGCAAAGACAACTTTCAAAACGCAGGGAAGTGCTTTATTTACTATGATTGTTTTATCATGAAGAATATCACAGGGGGACAGGGACCCAAAGAGATTCTTAGGTGGAATAGAGGCATAGAATTTCCATGCCCTCTCTGGGTATACCACCATTCTGGGAGTCCAACAGTATGTCCATCAGTTGAGAAGTGCTGACTTTCTTCCCTGATGAGTTTCACAATCCACTTTACAGAATCTCTCACCCTGTGATCTAGGGGTGGGGTTGAACTCAAATCAAACTTTTGGGCTTTTTGGAATCCCTATTCTTTAGCTATCAGTTTGATTTCTTCTTACAATTCCTCTTCATTCTGAATTGATACATGAACAAATAAAAATTGTACCTCATAAGCAGGGTACCATTGACATTTTGATACACGTGTGCACTGTATAATATTTAAATTTCATTAAATATGTTTCCTCAACTGGATCATTTGTGGAGAAACCTTTCAAACACTAGCTTCTTGAAATGCCCAGTACATTGTTACTATCTACACTACACTACAGTAGCACACCAGAACTTCTTGTTCCCATCTAGCTGTAATTTAGCATCTATATTATCAATTTTTCTCATTACTGCGATAAAATACCTGAAAGAACCAACTCAAGAGAGGAAGGATTTCTTTGGGCTCATGGTTTGAGTGGCATGGAAGGCATGGTGGAGAGAGCACTTGCAGTGGGGAGAGCAGGACTGTGAAGTGATGGGTTACTTCTCTTTGGTGGTCAGGAAGCAGAAAGCTCAGACCAGAACTGAAAGACACCCCCCCCCCCAGCATTCTGCTTCCTCTAACCAGACCCCACGTCTTAAAGGTTCCACAACCTTCTAAAACTGCCATTTTCTGGAGACCACGTGTTCTAAGCATGAGCCTTGGGTGTGGTTTCCACTCAAGCCAAAGCAGTGCCCAGTGATCAAGCTTTCCGGTCTCAAGCCTTCCTAAATGCTCCAGCCTCAGTGATCATCGTGTTGTGTCTCAGTTTCTACGTAGTACCGAGGACCCCACGTCTTAAAGGTTCCACAACCTTCTAAAACTGCCATTTTCTGGAGACCACGTGTTCTAAGCATGAGCCTTGGGTGTGGTTTCCACTCAAGCCAAAGCAGTGCCCAGTGATCAAGCTTTCCGGTCTCAAGCCTTCCTAAATGCTCCAGCCTCAGTGATCATCGTGTTGTGTCTCAGTTTCTACGTAGTACCGAGATCATGCAGTGCTTGTCTTTATTTAAAATTATTTATTTAAATTATGTTTCTGAATGTTTTGCCTGTGTGTATGTAAGTGCACCCATGTTGTGTAATCCTGTGGAGGTCAGAGGAGGGTGTCAGATTCCCTGGAACTAGTGTTATGGACGTTATAGCTGCCATGTGGGTTCTGGGAACTGAACCTGGGTCCTCTGCAGTAGCAGCCAGTGCTCTTAACTACTGAGCCATCTCTCCAGCCCCAGTACTTGTCTTTCTATAGACATCTCATTTTACCCAATGACCTTTAGTTCCAAAGGACCTCTAGTTCCATATAGATTGTCACAAGATTTTATTTTATATGGATAAATAGTATTCTGTTGGATATAGGTACCATATTTTCTTTACGTTCATCTATTCATGGACTCTTAGGTCACTTCCATTTCTTGAGTTTTGTGAATGGTGTTGTATTAAACAGGAGAGTGCAGAAGTCTCTCTGACATACTGACTTCATTTCCTTTGTGTATTTACCCAGAAGTGGAACTGTTAGATCATTTGGTAGTTCAACTTTTAATTTTTGTTGGACTTGAATACTGTTTTCCATAATGGCTCTGCTAATTGACATTGCCCTCAGCACTGTTAAGGGTTCCCTTTTTTCCCGAATACTTACTGGCCAGTGAATTTGTTGTTCGTAGTCATTCTCACTATGTGAGTAGATGTGAGGTTAAATATACTTCTCTTGTAAATTTACATTTCCCTCATAATGATGTTGAAAATTTTTTCACTTGTTTATTGACCATTTGCATGCATTCTTTCAAGAAACATCTATTTAGGTCTATGGCCTATGTGTTATATTTATTTATTTTTGTTACTGAGTCTTTGGAGTTTCTTAGAAATTCTGGGTGTCAGCCCCCTGCCATATGTACAGCTTGAGAGTATTCTCTTCCATTCTTCAAGTTATCATTAAAGTTTGCATCTGCTTCATTGAAGAGCTGTCATTTATTCTGGCATGATTTACAACACAAAAGAAAACCAGATTCAGTAATACATCTGACATGTCTTCCTTCCTGAAATCCATTCAGTGCTGGACTAAGGAGAGATGAGGGGTATGCGTGCATGCATGTGCGTGTGTGTGTGTGTGTGTGTGTGTGTGTGTAATGCATGTGCCATGTCAAATTGTGAACTAATTAGTTCTCTAAGGAAAATTTCTATTTGTATGTAATTTATACTTGGGTTTAAACATCAAAACAATTGCATATTTGTGCAAAGTTGTCCTCTAATCAATGTCTAATCAATGGTTATAATCTATGTTTTAATATTGATTGATTTTTCTCATATATTAAATTGAAAGAAAAAGTTTAATGTGTAATAGCTCAAAGCTTCTTTTTCTATCACTGTCTCTTAGTCCGGTATTTTAAGTGGTATTGAAGAAATGTTACAGCCATAAATTTAGATTTCTTTTGTGGTTCTCCTAGATGTAATAAAGGAACAGAATCGAGAGTTACGAGGCACACAGAGGGCTATAATCAGAGATCGAGCAGCGCTGGAGAAACAAGAAAAACAGCTGGTAAGCAGAACATTACATTTCAGTATAACTTCAGACAAATTTGGAATTTAGTGTTGGAATAATTAGCTAACTAGAAAGAAGGCACTTAGCAGGGGGTAAGTGATTTACTTGAGTAAGAAAAAGCATTTAGTGTTTCCTTGCATTTTCATCCTGTTTTTATTGTATCATTTGTTGACTTTTATTGGAACTTTTTTGTCTTCTGCTAATACAGAATCAAATTATTCCTCGGTTTTTGAATATCATGAATATCTAGGACTGAGTAGTCCTCAGTACACAGAATTTACCTTCTTAATTGACAGTAAAAGTAAAGACGGTCCAAAGAAAGCAAAAGAGGTTTATGAAGATGCATTAATTAATTCCTAGGTGTCTTCCCTGTTCTTTTAAAGATGATTGTGTCTGTGACAAAAATTTTCAGTTAGATTGATATGGCTTATTTAAATATATTCTTTATGCTATATTTTTAAGTGTATGTTATCTCAAATCTGTTGAAAAGCAGCTATCCTCGGATGTGTGAAACATGCAACAAATTGTACATCTTTAGAGTGTACATTTGATGTTTTCACCTAACTATATATCTCTGAAATCATTATTCTTGTTAAGCTAATAAATACGACTATCATTCCCCCTAAAGCTTCTTAGCCTTTGAAATCCCTCCTATCCCACCCCTCAGTGGTCCCTTTCCCCAAGGAGGCAAATACATCTGATGTCCCTATAGATTAGTTTTAACTCTTTTTATACTGGCTTCTTTCAGCTCTTTTAGCACGGTTATTTGATGTTAATTGCTGTTCACATGTCTGGCTTAAATCCTTTTCACTGAGTGTTCTTTCAGTTTGTGGTTGTTTCCTCATTTCTTTATCTGTTTCCTACACAGTGGATAATTGAGTTGTTTCCAGGTTTTTGTTTTTTATGTAAAGTTGCTATATGCATTCAAATGAATTTTTTGTACATTTTTATTTCTTTTAGTCAATTCCTAGAAGTGAGATACATGTTTAACCTTATATGAGAAAGTACTAAACAGTTTGCAGAGTGACTGTAATGTTTTCTCTGGCATTGGGTGAGAATTGCAGCTGTTCCACATAGTTGGAGTACACAGTCTTTAATTTCAGCCATTCTGGTGGGGGGTTAGTAGATTGTGATTTTCAGTTGCATTCCCCTAATTATTAGTGATGTTGAGCATCTAGTTTAATGACACTAATTTCGATTTGCATATAATTCTTTGCCAAAGTGTCTAATTTTAGCCATGCTCTTCCATAAAATTAATTTTTATTTATTTATTTTTATTTTATATGTATGTGTGTTAATTCCTGCAGAGGCCAGAAAGGGTATTGAATTCCCTTGGACCTGAAGTTATAGTCAGTTCTGTGCTTTCCAAATGCGGGTGCTAAGAACTAAACTCAGGTCCTATGTATAAGCAATAAGCTTTCTTAACCACTGAGCCATCTCTCCAGCTTCTCATCAAAATATTTAATTATAGTCATTCTTTATGTTGCAGATATAAATGTTTTGTGTTATAGTTTGCAAATAGTCTCTACAAGCCCTTGAGCTTGTCTTCAGTTTTCCTAAATGTCTTGATAAATAGAAGTTTTTGTTTATTTATATTTTTAATGAAGATAAATTTATTTTAATTTTCTTCTTTGGCTACTACCTTTGATGTGTTAAGAAATCTTTGCCTAGGAAACTTCACTAGTGCTTTCTCTTAGAACATTTAAAAATAATAGATCTATGTATGCTTACATTTCAAGCTGTGAACTACGTGTTTCACCATGGTGTTAGATAGACATTTGCTTTCTGCATATGGAATTCATAATTTGTTGCTAGCACCTTTCCCAGGCCATCTTTGTAGAAAATCAGCATTCTAAGTAAGTGAGCATCTTTCTGGACCCCTGACTGTTGTATTGATAGGAATGCCCTTGAGCTTTCAGTCTTGCTGTCTTTATTGCTATTGCTTGATGGTAGGTCTTAGAGTTATACAATCTTTGCACCTCTTTCATGATCATTTAAGCTGCTTCAGGCACTTTGCTTTTATATATGACCTTTATAATAAACCCCTCAACTTCTACAAAAATTATTGTATTTTGATACAGTCATATTAAATGTATGACCCATTGGGACAAATTAACATTGTAACAAATCTTACTGTACGTGTATATTTTCATGTATTTCCACATATTTAGATATTCTTATCACTGCATTGTCCTTGTAAATCTGTAGGACTTGTATTTTCTTTGATGCTATAATTAAAAAAAAATCAACTTCTGATTTGTGAGGGGATGATAGACCTAGAGACACACTATGTTATGTATGTACATCTTGAATCCTATAAGCTTCATTTATTCTTGAATCCTATAAACTCATTTATTCATGAGGCCTTTTAGTAGATTCCCTGAAATTTCTTTGTATAAAACATTTAAAAATATTTTATTTATTTTCATTTCTTATGTGTATGAGTGTATTTCCTGCATGTATAAAAGTGTACCCCTGTCATACAGTGACCACAGAGGTCAGAAGAGGGCGTCAGGTTCCCCTGGAACTGGAGCTAGAGTCGGTTGTTAGCCACCATGTGGGTACTGGGAATTGAACCCAAGTCCTCTGTAAGAGCAGTCAATGCTCTTAACCACTGAGCCAACTCTCCAGTCCCCATTCCCTGAAATATCTACAAAAAAGGATCATGCAATCATGGATTAGGAAGGCTTGACATCTTCCTTTCCTGCCTCAGAAACTTTCTTAATATAATCTTTTTATTGACTCTGAGAATTTCTTACAATGTAGTTTGGTCATATTCTCCCTCCTCCTCTTCTTAACTCCTCCAAGACCCCATCCCCAACTTCATGTCTTATTTTTTCAATAATCTACCATGTCCAATTTGTGCTGCCCACATACTCGTGGGTCTGGGGCCATCCACGGGAGTGAGGTCAACCTGCAGTGGCCACAAGTAAAGAAAATTTACTCTCCCTCCCCTAAAAGCTAACAACTGTCTGTAGCTCCTCAGTAGGGGGTAGAGGCTCCTGAACCCCTTCTGGCTCTATGCTAGAATGCTTAGCCTGATCTTGTGCTGGCATCCGTAGCCACTGTGAGTTCAGGAGTGAAGTGATCCTGTTGTGTTCAGAAGACACTTTTTCACTCAGATGCTTCCTGACCTCTGATCTTAGAATCTTTCCACACTCTCTTCTGAGATGGTTCCTGACATAGGGGTTGCTATGATATAAATATCCCATTTGTGGCTGAGTGTTCCATTGACAGTAATTCTCTGCATATCAGCCACTTAAGAGTTTCTACAAAACTTCACTGATGAGGCCTGAGAGCTGCAGGAATCTCTGGGTATAGAGGTATGAATTTAGAGGGCAGTTTGGTGGTATGTCCCACATAGCAGAATGATAGTAGGAACCTTTAAAAAATATTTCCCCCCTTACATTTTCACAGTAGATAGAATTTAAAGTACAGTGCTAAAACAGAAGTGGCATAGACATTCTTACTTTTTGATTGAACTTAGGAAGTAAATATTCAGTCTTTATAATTAAGTATAGTGTAATCATAGGCTGTTGTTGATGCCCTTTTTCCAGGTTAATGATTTTCCTAATTTGCTGAGAGTTGTTTTTGTTTTTTGTTGTTGTTGTTGTTTTGTTTTTAAATAAGGAATGATTTTTTTTTCACTGTTGAAACAGTTGTGTAGTTTTTCTCTCTAAGTCTGTTCACATTGTATATTAGTGAAGGTTCACTGAAGAAACAGCACCAGTAGAATGAATATACATACATACATACACACACACACACACACACACACACACACACACACACACACGGATTTATTAGATTAGCTTACAGGATAGAGTCTGAGTAGTCCAACAATGGCTGCACCACACTGGAGAGGCTGAGAATCTGTAGTCGCTCAGTCCACAAGGCTGGGTGACTCAGTAGTCCCAATCTGGTGATGAAGGCCTGATGAAATCCCAGAGATCTGCTGCTAGTCTTCAGTGTACAACAGCAAGATGAACTCACCAATGAGAGAGAAGGCAAGTGGCAAAAAGCAAGAGCTCCCTTCTGCCATGGCCTTTTATATGGGCTGCCATCAGAAGGTGACACCCACATTTAGGGAGGGTCTTCCAGCTTCAGAAGATCCTATCAAGAAGGTCTCTCTCAGTTAATCCCAGATCCAGTCAAGTTGCCACCCAGGATTAATCATCACACATTGGTTGATTCCCAAAACAAAACAAACGTTTGCTCCTGGAATGTAACTCTACTTGGTAAACAGGCAACTTTTAATATAATTTAAATTTGCTGAAATTTTGTTAAGCATATTGCAACTGGGGCTGGAGAGAAGGCTCAGCAGTTAAGAGCACTTACTGTTCTTCCAGAGGAACCATGTACATTTCCAAGCACCTACAGGCAGTTCACAGCCACTGCAGTATCTCCAGCTCCAGGGGATCCATTGTCCCCTTCTGGCATCTGAAGACCCTGCTCTTGTGTACAAAGGCACACCCCCCACACATACACATAGTTAAAAGTAAAGATAGGACTGGAGAAATGGCTCGGTGGTTATGAGCACCAAGGGCTCTCACAGAGAGGGTCTCACAGAGGACCCAGGTTCAGTTCAGCACCCATATGGCAGCTAACAACCATCCATAACACTAGTTCTGGGGATCTGATGCCCTCTTCTGGTCTCTACAGGCATTTTGTACATGGTGCACTTGTATTCGTGCAGCCAAAACTCTCATACATACAAAGTAAAAAGAAATAAATTCATTTTAAAAAATTAAAAAATGAGACATATCTTTAAAAAAAAAGTATTGCAACCATGTTCTTAGAAATGATACTAATTTAGTGGGTGCAAGAACTGGAAAGATGCTCAGCAGTTAAGAGTACTGACTGCTATTGCAGAGGACCCAGGTTCGATTCCCACTATCCACATGGTGACTAACAACCATCTATAACTCCATTTCCAGGGTGTCCAATGCCCCCTTCTGACCTCCACTCACATTGCACAACACAGGTACACTTACATACGTGCAGGCCATACAGTCATACACTAAAAATAAAAATAATAAATGAGATATAAAAAAAGGAATGATACTAGTTTATCTGATTTGGATGTTTAGAAATAATGCTGACCTCGTAGGACAAGTCTGTAAATCATCTTTACAGTCTTGGGAATGTGTGTGTGTGTGTGTGTGTGTGTGTGTGTGTGTGTGTGTGTGTTCTCATGAACCCATGTCCCTATGCCACTAACAATCATTTTGCTATTGCAGAGGACCCAGGTTCGATTCCCACTATCCACATGGTGACTAACAACCATCTATAACTCCATTTCCAGGGTGTCCAATGCCCCCTTCTGACCTCCACTCACATTGCACAACACAGGTACACTTACATACGTGCAGGCCATACAGTCATACACTAAAAATAAAAATAATAAATGAGATATAAAAAAAGGAATGATACTAGTTTATCTGATTTGGATGTTTAGAAATAATGCTGACCTCGTAGGACAAGTCTGTAAATCATCTTTACAGTCTTGGGAATGTGTGTGTGTGTGTGTGTGGAAGTAAGGCATAATCTATCAGAAAAGTCAACTGTAAAGGAAATTTCTTACTGGATAGATATGTAAACTACAAATTCTTTCTCTTTATAAATAGGTAAAGGATTAGATAATCTGTCATAATGAATGAACTGTGTTGTTTTAATATATCAAGTCAGTTTTTAGTAAATTTGCAAATGCAATGACATGTTGCACATATATTCCCTCATTACCTTTTAACATTTGAAGATATGGTATGAGGTCCTCATTTGCATCCTCAATGGTTATAATTCATGTTTCTGACTTGGTTTTTTCCTTTTCTTGTCTGAGTGGTGCGTCAGTTTGATTGGTCTCTTGTTAAAAGCAATAACAACAATCAAACAACGTTTGCTGTCACTGATTTTTCTGTATTGGTTGGTCTTTCCTACTTTACAGTTACTTTCTCATAAAATTTTCTTCTTTCTTTCTTTTTTTTAATTTGAATTTATGTTTCTTTTTTTCTACATTATATTGAAGTTTAGGAAGTATTCAGTGTTTTTTCCAAATATGAACTTTAATGATAAAAATTTCCTAAGAAGTTTTTTAATTTCAGCTGCAATTTTTGACTAAAAAAAAGATAAGATAAAGATAAAATTGCATTTTATTTTATTAAGTTCAAATTATTAACTTATTTCTTTTTTAAGTCAAGAACTTATTCATAACCTTTTTTAAAAATTTTGTTTAAATTTTTTTAATTTCTGTATCTTAACTGTTGATTTCTAGTTTAGTTTCACTACAATTAGAGAATGTACTCTGAATAACTTAAGTCCTCTTATATTTATTAAACACTGTTTTTAATGCAGAATATGTAATATTTTGGCAGTTTAGTATATATTTGTAAAAAATTTATATTCTATTGTTGATAATAATAAAACTTCTTATAATTGTCAGTTAACTTGCAGATAGTATTGGTTAAGTTTTCTGTGTCATTATGGATGCTTTATCTCTGTAATACCCCTTATTTACAGTTCCACTTTCATGATTTCCATTGCCATTGTCAGACCATAGTCAGCTCTGGTCTAAAAATAGCAAAGGAAAAGGTTCATAAAGAAATACTTTATAAGTTAAAATTGTACAATTTTGAGTCACTTGAACTCTCATGCCATCCACCTCCATCCCATCCAAGAACTGAATCTTCTTGTCTAGTGTTCTGCACTGTATGTATGCACTGCCCCCTGTTACTCTCTTAGGAGCCTGATGGGTTTCTAGATCAATTGCTGCAAGGCTTAGGTAACCCTTACCTTGTTTTAATAATGGGCCCAAACTGTGAGAGCAGTGATACAGAGAATCCAGATGTACTGAATGGAAGCCACAGAGTCCTTTCCTTAAAGTGAAACGCAAAAGTTTGTCATAGGTGTGTATGTATAGGAATAAACTATTACATTAAGGGTTTGGCTTTTTCTGGCAGTTTTCAGTGTTATTGAGATCTTGAAACTTATCTTCACCATAGCAAAGAGGAAACCACTGTATTAGTAAGAAATAGGCACAAGAGCCTATTTCAGACAGGAATTGATGCTTCTCAGACTAATTGTATACTTTACAATTTCTCCTTATAATCCTATCTTTTGTACCATGTATATAATATTATATATATAAGCACTTAATTACACATATATGTATACAAATCTGTGTTTAGGATTATCCTGATAGATTTGTGTAGTTGACCCTTTATTATTATGAAATGATCCTTTCTATTTCTAGTGTTGTCTCTTGTTCATATATTTATTTGATCTGATAGTATAGTCACTTCAGATTTGCAGATTTTGATAAATATTTATGTGACCGATATTTTTCCATTTTAAACACAACTTTGCTCTTGTATATAAAATAGGTTTCTTAGACAGCATAGTTAGACTTGCTTTTTTATACACTCCAACAGTTTGCTTTTTAATTGCTGTATACAATGAACCAATTTATCTGTTTATTAACTTTAAATTAATCACCCCAGTCTTGATTTTCTTTGTTCTACTGACTGTTTTACCTGCTTGTTTTTGGATTTTCTTTTTATGTTTCTTCTGGGATGTAAGCATGTACCATTTTGTAGACTTGCTCTGTGTTCATGGACAAAGGTGGTGGTTCTTCCCATCTGAGCATGTGGACCAGCTCCTCAAACTGCTTTGTCCCTATGACTTTGTCCCTATGACTTTTTCTCTTAGAGAGAAAAAGCGTATTATGCCCATTAGATACGCTCTTCTAAAATAATCATTGAGACTTCCCCTTGATTTTTAGTCCCCTTACCTTTTCTCCACTCTTAGGAATTAGAAATTAAGAAGATGGCTAAGATTGGTAATAAGGAAGCTTGCAGAGTTTTAGCTAAACAGCTTGTACATCTACGGAAACAGAAGACGAGAACTTTTGCTGTAAGCTCAAAAGTCACTTCTATGTCCACACAAACAAAGGTTATGAATTCCCAGATGAAGATGGCCGGAGCAATGTCTACTACAGCAAAGGTAATTGGGAACCCTTGTGTATAGATTTGTAGGTTTACCTAGGATATTTAAATATTGATGTTCAGATCAGAGTTTAAAGCATTTTTTAGTACATGCATACTATAAAAATCTTAATTATCAATAAAATAAGTTATAATCATAGGTAATTACTTTTAGAATATTTATTGATGTGTTATAAAGTAGGGACATTCATATTTTCCAAAGATCACATGTAGCTTTAAAGTTTATATGAGTTGACTTAAAATAGTATTTGTTTTTTTCCATAAATTGTTAGAAAATTTGCAAGTTTCTTTTTTCATTATTATTTCTGACTATGTTTGAGTAATAATTTTCTTTGGATTTACTTTTGTAAATGTTCAGAATTATACATGAATATTGTCAATAGAATTTATTGGTCAACAGGTTTCATGGACTTGTGTTTTATATACATATATACAATCACTGTTTTAACTGTTGATTTTAAAGGGCTCTGAGCATTTCAATAATTTAATAAATAGTGAGCTATTGATGTATATTATATTCTGTATGTAATTCAGAAGTATAAGGCAAATATACTACTACTTTCTTAGAGTTTATATTTTAAAGGGGGGAAGTTAAGATATATCTGAATATGAAGCTGTTACACACCAGTGTGTGTTTAGCATTGTTGTTCTGCTCAAGTCTCTGGATAAGGTGATCTAGAACACTTCATAGAAGACCTAGGTCTTGACAACTGACATAGGCCATAGATTCTTGTTATTCACATTGGTGATGGTCTGTGTAGTCAGGAGCAAGGGTATAGCAGATACTGAGTCATTGTTCACAACATTTCCATTCATCAGTTTTTAAATTTGAATTACCAAATTCAGTATGTATTTCTGGTTAACATTGAGCTGAGGGCTAGCTTTTTGAGAAGCCTGTGTCTTCTCTAGGAATTGTACTCCTGACCTTTTGCATGTCCTGCTCCCTATCTCTTCATACTTGTGCTCAATCTTCATTAAAACTTCTTCTTAATACTCTCCAGTGTTGCTTCAAAAATGTGGGGATGTGGGGATGAAGCATCTCTAAAATGTTCTTCCTCCATGAGGCCTGCTGCGGCCTTCTTCTACTTAGCAAGCACATTGGTGTTAGGCATGAAAGCATTTAAACAACCCCATTACCAATAAGAAGCACCCAAATGAGAAAATGTAGTACTCAGTAAACTGCCAAAAGGATGCTACTTATAATACGAAAGTGGAAAGGAGCAGGCAGCACCTTGCCCTGTCCAAAGCATGAATGTGAGTGACTCAAATATGTCACCAGTGAGTGCTAAAGTACTGCAACTATTGGTTTGAGATTCCCAATTAATTTTAGTAAGTTGGCAGGTTCACAGCCTAGAGATTATTAGGGTCACTTATGTATATTTTTGTGCCTACAGAAAGGAAGAAAATAGATTGCACCTATCTTTTGAGTTACAGAAAGTATAGTAACTCAGTATATTCTTTAAAAAGTTTCAATATGAGTTTTGCTTATTGGTGCTGAGGGGGCGATTATCTTGCAGTTTTCTGTGACAGATTGGCTCAGAAATGGTGCCTAATGTGGTTTTGCCATGTAGACATGTATGACTTGGAAGTCTCGTATAACAACTTAAAAATATATTATCTCAGCAAATGTTTGTTCAGATACCCAAGGTTGGAACTATAAGTAGTTCAGATGAAATGGTTAAGCCAGGACTTAACCTTTGGAGCCAGCAGTCTCCTTAAGAGGCAACTTATGTAACATGTAGCATGGACAGTAATTTGAAAGCTCTACTCATGCTCAGATCTCATTTGACTTGGTAGTGTGACCTTGGGCAAATTATTTAGCCCTTTTGTGTCTCAGTTTTCGTTTGTAATGATGGGAAATGGAAGTAACTAACACATAATGTTTTTGTGTTTTAAAGGTCATTTAACTTTACTATCCACACATACAAATTGATTAGAATAGCATTTGGCTTACTTACAGTGTGATTTTATACATGTAAACTACTCTATCATCCTCTTCATTATTAGTATTATTTAGAACAATAATGTAAATTGCCATTAAAGTAATTTAAACTAGCAAATGTAAACTTTCATCCATAGTGAGTGGGATTTAATGTCAGTGCTTGTTCTACTCTGGGGTGTCGGGGCCTACTTCCATATGAGCATAGCTACACAAATTGAAATCTGAAGTGTTGAGGGTATAGGCACTTGAGAGGAACAGGCATGAGGGACTAGTAGGTACAATGGTCCTGCAGCAGGACAGAGTATGCACATTCAAGGAAATTAAAAGTCAGCATGCCTACCAGGGCAGTGGTGGCAGGTGAGACTATCTTGTTGAACAGACTTCAATTGTTAGGTCTCCAAGACAAATTTTTCAATTTGACTTTTAACACTAGATCAGTTGGAAGGCATTGGAGAGTTAGGTATAGAACTTTAGGGGTAGTGTCCTACTTGAAGAGATTCTTTTGGCTACCTCATGCACATACTGTCTGAGAAAACAGTTTCCCTATTTGAAGACAATATACTTTCAATGTATAGTATCTTTTAGCATAGCCACTAAGCTCTGTAGTACAACCATAAATACATATAGAACAATAGCATTAATCATACATATGTAATGAATAATTTGTATGCAAAATTTGGCCATACTAGACAACAGTATCTTTTAATGAAATACACTAAGTACATACAATTTTTTAAGTCTTGCAAAATTATTTCTTCGCATTGTAAAATGTACTGTATGCTAACATGTCCTCTATTCCTTTTCAGTTAATATTAAAATTTTTAGTTTAGTTATTACCTATTTGCCACATAATTGGCAAATTTAGTGTCCAATATGAATAGCATTTGATTTTATATTGATGATTTTTTTTTACTATGTAATTGTTTTACCTACTGCTCACTTGAAGTTTTCACAGTGGTCTTTATTATCTAGATGTTTAGTATCATGAATAAATTTTTCTAGAATACTAAACACTATGTTTATTATAACAGGATACATAGTTGTAAAAGACTGAATGTATTTGGTGTTACCTCTAGACTTATCCACAGTAAGATTTTCATAACTGTGTAACTAACATAAATTTTTCTATATATTTAAAGACAATGCAGGCAGTTAACAAGAAAATGGATCCACAAAAGACACTACAAACCATGCAGAACTTCCAGAAGGAAAACATGAAAATGGAAATGACTGAAGAAATGAGTAAGTTTAAATGTACTAGTGAAGTGTAGTGATCTCATCCTCGAATTACCCAAGTTGAGGTACTACCAGTTCCGTGCTCTAATTCACAGAGGCGCAAATAATGAAACAAGAAATGCTAGAGCAGCCTTATTGGAGTCCCTTCTCATGACTTCAGTACATTGGCAGGGTTTAAGACTTAAAATTTTGTAGTGTTTTAATTGAGTGGAGAATATAAAATATGCTGTGCCATAATTCCTATGACATATTGGCCTCAACAGTTTTTAACAATATTAAGTATACAAAAAATTCCCAGTTCAGTTTCATTTAGATTGACTCGCACTGTAAATCTCTTTGTGTTAGAGGCAGAGACTATGGAGCTCCTGCTTTATGCTGTCACAAAAACATCACTTAATGTTTACTTTCTAAACTTATTGTGGTAGAAAAATGATGACTAAAAGGAAGCAAAGTATATATAATTCATCTTTCCTAAACCACTCAGATATTGTTATGTTAGTGCTGTCCCTCTGTCTCTTGTATTTTCCCATATTTGTAAAAGTGACATTACATTACATGCTTAATCATTGATGTAGTCCTTCTTTTCAAAAACGTGCTAGTATAACATAAACATGGACTTTTCTTAAAAATAGTTTTTGCAGAGTGTTTGCTAACATGCTTAAGGACCACAGTTTGATCCCAGCAATGAAAAAAGAAAAGGAAAATGGTTTTAGAATATTGTCTATTAGCAGTATGCCCTTAGGAAACTATTTTCCATTCATCATCAGTAAGGTAAATTTAAAATTTTCAGTTTATTTGACAATCTTTAAAAGAATATGTGTATGTATTACTTTTAGGTTTCCTTTATCAACTAAGATTTTATTTATGAGGTACCTGATTTCTTCCCAGAAAGATGACAACTGTATTTATTTCACCAAAATGACTGAGTAACCCTTCAGCACATCCTCGTCAATACTGAATCGTTATTCATATGTCACCTTTTGTATCATTGCATCACCTTCTGGTTGTTTGCCAGCTGTGTAGGGACATGCCAGTTTAGCTCAGCTTATCTGCTGGCATTGTAGGTTAGCATTTCATGTAGCCAGCAGTACTTTTCTGAACTGCTGGAATGACTGCACTCAGTGGCATACTAGCATTCATTTAGGGTCTGGTTTTCTTCCTGGATATGATGGTACTACATGTGTTATCATTGGCAGTTCCGAAGGCTGCTGCTACACTACATGCCTTTACTTAGAAAAACACAAAAAGCCTTTTGAAACATTGTCAGTTCATTTTATTAACGACGAGAGCCCTGCCATTTACACGGTGATCATTCTAAGTAACATGCTTAGGTGATTTCCAGTAATGGCTCACTTGTGATTGTCTTAGACCTTTCCATTACTCTATAGAATCAGTGAGCCCTTAATCAGGTAGATAGTATGTCTGTCATAGTTGCTGTCATTTGCAATTTAATACTTTTCAATCTAAAATCATACTAGTTATTTATGATTACATATTTTCAATAACCTTGTACTTTAAAGTCAAAGTATAATTCAATATATTTCTATTTAGAATCTATACTTTGCCATGTTGCTCCAAAACTTGTTCACAATCATACTTTGGAAGCAAGGTCTTGGGGACACTACTTACATGTCTGTTACACTTTTGCCGTGCTCCTCATCAAAGCATTCTGTGCTGTCACACTTCTGTAGTGATTCTCTTCTTCCCTTTCTTTCACCTTTCTGCTACATTTCTTCATTCAGACCTTCACAGACTTTGACCTGGACTGCCTATCGCCCTTGTTACTTCATTACCATTCAGGTTACACACTGGTGAATGAATGTTCCAGAAGCATACCTCTGGAGTCTTCTGATGAGATTCATTCAGTCGTTTCTTGATGAGCACAGTCTAACACCCCAAAGTTACATACAAAGTAAACCAGTTTCCCAGTAAAGATTTTTATTTTGCCAGTAAGAATACAGAGCCAGAGAGGTAAAATCACTTTCTGTCAAAGTTGCTGATTCTGATCTGTGTGTGTGTGTGTGTGTGTGTGTGTGTGTGTGTGTGTGTGTGTGTGTGTTGAGTCCATTTAGTGGTGCTTGTGTGGCCTTGTGTTTAGGACTACCCACTTGGGATCAGATAACCTCTCCGGGAGATAGTCCCTGGAGAAAACTGATTACATTTCATTTTTTATCATAAGCTTTTTAGCTCTTTATAAATTTACTTTGTACTGTTAAACTAACAAGTGAAAATTTCAGTATCATAACCAATATCCAGCTTTGTTACTAATGTCAATTAATGTCAGTGATACAAATAACTAGAATGAACAGGCAGACAGGTAGTGAACTAGGGCATCACAATTCATTGTATCTTTTCTTGATGTCTCAGACACAAAATCTGATTCCAAATAGATACGGTGTCTAATGAGGTTGCTTATCATCTTATGTTGAAGAGAACATTTATATAAAAGGCTTACAATGTGTTCATTCCCCAAAGAGATCACTACCTTATATGCTATCTTCCAGGGAATCATAGCTCATGGGCCTATAGATCGGAATGGTAAACCAAGACATCCTAAGAGCATCATACAGATTCTGGTCTATTACCAGGTGGCCACTTACCAATTTGGAGGCAAGATCAGAGTACCTGTCTTTCACTTTTGTTTCCTCTGACTGTTGTGGGTAGCTTCTTCCATAGGCCATCTGCGTTTGTTTTTTTTCTTTCAAGCCACTTTTTATGTTTCTACTTTTAATAACAACCAGGCAGAAGAACTGCCTGTGTCTCAGATGCGTCCCTTCCTTGCAGGTCTGTATCTCTCTGTGGTGGAATCTTATTCACCACCCCCATCCAGGTGTGTCTCATAGCTTGTTTCCAGTTGAACATGATCTCCTGTTGAAATGTAGTGAACGTCTATATTTTCTTTTACTCAAATTTATTATTTTGTTTTCTATTCAAGAATAAGGTACAAAAATTCTTCTATTGTGTTTGTGCTGAATGGCAGGCACATATGTTCCCAGCTTCAGAAGCAAATAAAGCATAATCTGAGTCCTTCCAAATATCAACTTAGAACTCTTTCAATAAATATCTACTTAGAACTCTTTCAATAAATATCTACTTAGAACTCTTTCAATAAATATTTTTGGGTGGGGAAGGAAAGAAGGAAGGATAATAGCATTGGTAATCTTGCAAGCTTAAAATGAATATTACTATTAGGGAAAATTTAGTATCTGTTTACATATTTAATATTTTTTAAAACATTCTCCCTATATCATGAATATTAACATAAGAAATATGCAAATATGATAATGGATATAACAAGTAATTGTCTTCCAAATTTAAACAGAATTTGATTTTTACCTATTCTTTCCTGGTTCTGTTTAACAGCTACCAACTTAATGCATACAATTTGTGAAACCGTATTTTAAAAGTTTAAGCCTATAATTGTGACTATCACATAGTTTTGTTTATTGAAGACATACCTTTTAATTCATGTTCAATAATTTTTTTATGGTGGTTCTGGGGATTCAGTTCAGGGCCATGTGCATCCTAGGCATTCACGCTACTGCTGAGCTATATCCTTAGCCCTAAAGGTAGCTTTTAAGAAATCCGAGTAGGTTTATATTATTATAGGACTAGTATGTGTGGAGAGGACATTTTTATAAATTTGATGGCTCAAAACTTTAGCAATATTCCTCATTGACAGTTAAAACTGAGTTTTAAAATTTGTTGGTTCATATAAATTTTCTTTTTTAAGCATTAAAATATGTATACATAGTTTGATTATATCAAAAAAACATAAATCAAACCTGTAATCTAATGCAAAATAACTGGTTTATCCCATCCTTCTCCCCCTCCAAGTCAATGACACCCTGGATGACATCTTTGATGGCTCTGATGATGAAGAAGAAAGCCAGGATATTGTGAACCAAGTTCTTGATGAAATTGGAATTGAAATCTCGGGCAAGGTAAGGGCAGCTTCTTTTCTTACTGCACAGTTTCCCCCACTTTTGTCACTTGTTTTATGTGTTTGTGTAATGCTGTCTGGGTGTTTTTCTAGTTTTGTCGAAGTAAATTACTTCATCATGCATCCTCTGTCCTCCAAATGTTTACTAATACATTTTTTTCCTATCTTTTCTGTAATATAGATGGCCAAAGCCCCATCAGCTGCCCGAAGCTTACCATCTGCCTCCACTTCAAAGGCTACAATTTCCGATGAAGAGATTGAACGGCAACTCAAAGCTTTAGGGGTAGATTAGCTTAAAAAGCCATACTATTTTCACTTACAGTTGCTCAGTGGAAAGCGAGCTCAGTGCAGATTCCTTTTACAAAACACATTTATTTTGCAAAAATAAAGACCATGAGTGAACAGTTGTTTCCTAACCCATGGCTATTTTGAATCTTTTGCCAAAGAATGCCAATGATGCAAAAATGGGAACAGTTTGGGTTTTAATTAGAACTATTCAGGAGTGATGATGTGTAAAAGTTGACTTCTTTTCTGCATGGCTTAGAGCAATGATGTCATTCCTTAGTGTCAGGTTATGTTCTAAATCTTCTTACACTGAAATCAAAATTCTTGTTAAATGCCATTAGGCACCATCTCAAAGAGAATTCTAAAATTATTAAAGGTATATCGTTAATTCTGTATCTGCTGCTTGTAATTGTAGACAGTTATGTGTTAGGACCATAGGCAGTTCAGCTGCCAAATTATTTTTAAATGATCTAAAAGAAGAGTGCTATTTAAACATCTGTCTTAAAAATTGTCATGAGCTTTTACTTTTCTTCCATTTTCCCCCTTTGGGAGAACATTCTAGTTGGTAAGTTTATTACCTTTCAAAATGTGCTCGGCACCTGCCTTAAATAGCACAAACATATTGTGCACATCTTTAAATTTTTTAACTGGCAGAAAAGAATTACATTTTAAAATAAAATTAAGACTTCTTAGAACAGTTATCCAAGCTGTCTTGTAAAGCTTATAAAAACAAATTGAATATAATTAGAAAAATGAAAAAAGGCACTGAATTAATAACATTTTGTAGTAATGAAACAATATATTTTGGCTTTTCCTTAAAAAACTGAGATTTTTTTCTATATGAGTTACATCTTAATCTGTGCTGAATTTTGAACTGCATCAATGCATATGTTAAACCCTCTAAATTGAAGCCATTCTAAATTAAGTACTACCAGTATGACAATGCTTGACCTAGATTTTTAAAATAAAACTTTCTTTTTGCTGAATAAACTACAACTTTGTCAGAAATTACGCCTAAATGTGTGCATTGTATTATTGGTATTTTTAAAGCTAAACTTGCTATATTATGTATAAGAGTGATAGAAAATGAAGGATGCCATAGGAGTTGAAGTAGAATTTAAAGTGACATAAATTTTGAAGAATGATGTAGTATATGGAGTCTGCCACATCCTAACGCAGAAACTCTGGAATAATTCAGACCAGTGTAACCTGGCTAATCCAGTGCTGGGCCTTTGAACCGATGGTGAGCAGAGGCAAATGCATGGCATGGTGAAGGAACACATGCTCTCCATCTGCTTTAGAAATAATAGTCGTCTGTGTCTGATAGTCTGAGTCCAGAGCTCACCATTTCCCTCATCAGTGATGAGTCCAAACATTGTACTGTATCATGAAGTATTAACACAAAACATGTTTTGGATGTACATAATAATGCTGTCTAACCTTATTTACTTTCTTGTTTACATGTGGGGACTTTTGGTTTTAAGATTATTTTGTTTTAAGAAAAACTCAATAAAGATTTATTACTGTTAGTCATTTTTTCTTATATCTTTTTCTCTGGTTTTTGATTGCTGATAAGATTAGAAATTTTGTATATATTTAGTAATTTTCAAAAGAATAATTTTTGGAAGGAAATTCAGATAGCTGTGCTACTTATATGTTTTAAAATATTTTATTATTTTTATTTTCTGTGTTTGAGTGTTTTACCTAGATGGGTCCAAGGGCACCCATGCCATGCAGTGACTATGGAGGCCATCAGAGAGCCTGTCTGGAACTGGAGTTACAGAGGGTTGTTATCCACCACTTAGGTGCTGGGGACCAAACCTGGCCCTCTGCAAGAGCAGCCGGTGCTCTTAACCTGAGCCATCTCTCCAGTTCACTAATATTTTAACGACAAAAAACAGTTTTTGTTTTATTCTCAACATTCACGTCTTAAATGCTTGCTTCCATTTTGAATGCTACTGAAGAATTTTGGACCCAAAAATGAGAGAAGAATTATTGTGATTTGACTACATTTATAAAATGCTTGGGATGACACATTACAGTCTCTGTAAATCTGCTTGTAACTTTACTATTTTAGTAAAAATAAGAGTCCCTTTTATACCCTTAAAGAATAGGGAATAATGATTTTTGTAGATTGATGATACAGAAATAACTTTTAAATATTTCCTTTAGTAGTAGGATTTATTTAATATTTGTAGTCAAACATAAGGGATTACAGAGCAGAATAACAGAGCAGTATCTCTGATACTGAAAGAGATGCAACCAAAATGTAATAGTCTCAGATGAAGGATATTTCAGAACACTAGAGAAGTACAGTGCGGTATGGAAATGCCAAAATAAATGATGCTAGCACCTGGCATTAGGAAGCATAAATGACCATCTGTCGGATGATTGTGCTATCTGGACTATACTTGGTGCTTGAATAGAGTGCCTGGTTACAGCAGGGGGTATGGAGGGGCTCAGGATTGTGAACGTTCCTGTAAACCAGGGAGAAGAGACTGCTTGCTGAAGTCAGCCTCTTACAAAGTATGAACATCGACAGTAAATTGTATTTGTCATTCCTTAATTGCAAATTAGGAATTAGCATATCATTAACCTTTTCTGTTGCTTTATGAAGTTAGAAGCTAGTAAGATATTACATATAGCTAAAAAATAGTTGAAAATGCATTAATACAAATGAATCTACTGTTTGTATGCTGCTATTTACAGGTTTTTAAGTATATGTGTACAGTTTTGCCTGCATTTGTGTATTTGTACACATATAAAATCACATAGATTTTGACCTGTGTGTGTATACACACATATGTAATCACATAGCTTATGACTTGTCTGGTTCTGTGTGTTTTATTTTGGGCAGTAGGTTGAACTCACTCTATAGCCCAGGAAACCTTGAACTTGTGGTCTCTAGAGTTATTAGGATAACAAGCCCAGATTTAGTGCTCTATTTAATAATAGAAAAATACAGCACTGGACAGTATAATTTATTTGCTAAGTATTCTTAATTAACAATCAATTTTCATCTAATTTCCACTTTTTTATATAGAATAAAATTAACATTGCAAGCATATTTACATTCAAATGTTACAGATTTACACCATACTGTTTATTTCTACTTATAAGTTTCAGAGAAGTGCATTCCTAGAAATGCAGTAAATACCTTCCTTGAGATATAACTCAGAGTATTGAAAACCTCCTGCCAAAAGTGACAGCCTTTATTGTGGGTCCCCAGCTGAATTTCTGAACTGAGATTTCAAAACTGAATTTTATTTTTTAAGTTAGAGGCACCCTTCACATTTATAGCAATTGCTAACAAAGATTGCATACCTACTATGAGCAAACACTTTCCCTGTCACTGGAGAAAGAGCAAACAAGTCGGGTCTCCTGGGTCTCTTGGAGTTTACAGATAGACTAATGGTTAGGTTCAAGAATTCCTCCAGCATATTTTTTGTTTTTGTTGAGTTTTTCAGTTTTGGCTCTGCTCAGAATTGAACCCAGAATGTAGAACACATTAGGCACACTCTTCTCACTGACCTTGATTCCAAGCTTGTCAGGATTCTACAACTAAACAACAAAAAGCTAATATTTGCCAGGAATAGAAATCATGCCCAAACATTGCAACAAATCATTTTTAAACACTTATTTAGGTTTAATCCCTAAATATTAAATTCCAAGATGCCAGTTCTGATTGAGGATTATATTTGAAGGCAGTGGTACAATTCCTACCTCTGGCTCTTAAATTCAAAACTCTTAACTCCACACAAATTATCAGGGTTAAGTGGTATACTGCTTATTCAATAAATTTTGAGTTTGGGCCTTCTCTGGTTAGACATATATATATTAAAAAATTAAAAACTTTAAATGGCTTAGAAAAGGAAAGGATTTTTTTTTTCTGTCTTTTTAGACAGGATCTCTCAGTCTCCCAGTAGCCACAGCTGGCCTGGAAGTCACTATGTAAACCAGGCAGGCCTCGATCTCACAGAGATCCACCTACCTCTACCTTACTAGTGCTGAGATTAAAGGCCTATGCCACATGCTCCGCAGGAAAGGAATATTTAAACTAAAAGATCTGTATTGGTCTGTGTGTGGAGGGAGGCAGAACAAAAGAGGCATGTCAGGGAAATTCCCTGTTTTATTCTTTTTAGTATCTTTGGCTTAAAATGAACAATGTGGCTTCTGAGAACAATTAAAGATGATGACTTAAATGGTTGGAACTTTTTTTAAAGTAAAAAAAAAAGTGCAGAAGTTATTGTTTTAAGATATTTTTGAACCATGCAAGTAACTTCTATTTTTCTTTGAAAGAGAAATTAAAGTAGTTGGAAGAATGGCTTGCACACACCGGGAGATCTTATCTGCACTCTAGATGCTCCTTAGAAATAGAGAAAAGACTTTGGTTCAGACTCGTCTTCACCCGTTTTTCTCTCTGCCTTCGGTTGCAAAACCAGACTCTTACTACTTCTTTCTCCAGGTTCAGGTCTTCAGCCATCCGCATGATCTCCTGAGAGGAAGGTTTGCTCTGCTCGCTGAAGTGTCTTTCCAAAGCATCTTTAGCTGCAATACTGGGGTGGGGGAAGGTGAGATGAAATTGAGGTGAAAGTTTTCTGTGATTTTTCGTTTTTTGGCAGAGTGAAATGAAATTTAACTGTCTAAATATTACCATGAAAAAGGAACTTACAGATTCTGAAAACACTTGTAAAAGACATAAATGATTTGCTAAATAGATGCTTGTCTTCTTCCAGGCATCAAAATCACAAGCAAAAAAATAGTAGGGGCCTGGGCACTGTCCGTTTCTCTCTAAGCCACAAGAGGGCACCAAGTTCTCATCAAAGGAAAGGAACTCTGCTGTGTCATTTAAAGTACAGCTCCCCCAGCCTACACGCCCCCTGTCCCAGTCATTCTCATTATTACAATACAGGCAATGTACGTTGAAAACTAATCAAGACAAAACCTGTCTTTTACTATTTCCTATTTGTACCTCACAGAAAAAAAAAAAAAAAAAAAAAAATCATCTTTGGTTCAAATGTACAGGGGCATGTTAGAATTTGAGACTGACATATTGGTGACTAGTATCTTTTATATTTATAATAAGATAGATACTATATTGCCAAAGCCAGAACTTGTATCTAGAAGGACAGCCATGAATTATTTGGTTTCCATTTGTTTTGTTTTGATTTGGTGTTTGTTTCTTTGTTTGTTTGAGACTGGGCTCTCCCTGTGGGCCAGCTGACCTGGAATTTCTTATATACACCAGGCTGACCTTGAACTCATAGAGATCTGCCTCTGCCTCATGAGCGGAGTGCAACAATAAAAGGCGAGGGCTACCATGCTTAGATTGGTTTCCATTTTTAATCATATCTGAGTCAAAATGTTGGATCAAACAGTGTATATTTGCCCATCAAACGTTAAAAAAAATTACTGTGTTCATTTTTCATGAATTTTTTGTTACTTTTTTTAACTTTTCTTTCTTCAGTTGACTCTATTCACCTAATATTGTTGTGTTGCACCTATATTATACTGAAATGCAGATTCTATGCAGAAAATACCATTTTCTTTCACTAGTAAATTTAATGTCTCCAAGAATACCTTATAGTTGTTCTCCGTTTCCTTTTCCTTTCATTTGCTCCCACTTTTTCACTGTACAAAGCTGTAATATGGAAAAAAGAGATAATCATAAATAGTAATTTTTAACTATCATTCTCAGGTTTCATTTTTCTTTATAAAAGAATGTAAACTATATTATATGCATTTCTGTCTTAAATGTTTACATGCTGGACCATTTTATATTTCATTCCTTAGTAACAATGTTAAAGCAGAAGTAAATATCAATAAATCTTTTAAAGATTATTTTTTACAAATCATATCCTCACATTACTTTCGTTAGAACAGTTGTTGTAAATGCTTCCAAATCTTGTTCAATTTTAAGTATTTTTAAAGATTTATTTTTATTTTGTGTGTATGTGTTGCCTGCATGTGTAAATATGTGCAGCGCTTGTGTCCCTGGTGCCTGAGGAGTAACAACTGAACCATCCCTCCAACCCCATTATGCTTTATTGTTACCTATGCGTACATGAGTGTGTCTGTATATGTGGATGTGGATGTGGGTGCAGGTGCCAGATATGGATATGTGGATGCTAGAAAACATTGGATCCCTGGAACTAGAGTTAGAGGCAGTTGTGAACCACCCAACAGTGCCCTTTCTTAACTGCTGAACCATCTCTCCTGCCCGCCCCCGACTCTTGTTCTTTAGCAAGTCTTAACACTGGTATAAGTAACTGATTTTTCTGCTAAATTATTCATCATATTTATTATTATCTTATTCATCTGGAAGACTGGTGTAAAACGTTTTCTGTGCACACTCTTATTAGGTTGTAAAATCAATCCCTGCATAGTTAGTCCGGGATAGCAGAGAAGCAAAGAAATGTGGATGTGTTAAAAGAAAAAAAAAAAAAAAAAGCCAGCCCTTCACACTTTTGCCATGTTATCTAGAAAGCTTCTTCCACAATCTGTACTCTCCTTGATGGACTAACTACACTTGTGTCACGTTTGTCTTTTTTTTCTGTAGCCCAAGAACATGTTTTTCATTTCAAAGGGATAAAGAAAGAAAGGAAAGAAAGAAGGGAGGGAGGGAGGGTGGGAGGGAGGGACGGCAGGAGAGAAAGAGACAGAGAAAGAAAGAAAAGAAAGAAAGGAGAGAAAGGAAAGAAAGGAGGGAGGGAGGGTGGAAGGGAGGGACGGCGGGAGAGAGAGACAGAAAGAAAGAAAGGAAAGAAAGAAAGAAAGAAAGAAAGAAGAAAGAAAGAAAAAAAGACAAACCCAAATCAATTGCATTCTAATAACCCTAGTGATTGTTTTGAAGCTAACCCATAGCACAATCTGCAGAGATTGACTTTAGTACCTCCGACTTGCTCTGCTTCCTCCAGCCACTTGGATAATATTGCTTTTAGTTTACATGCGTTTTTGAAACTGAGCTGCAGGTTTTCAAATCGGCAGATTGTTGTTTGACTGAATTCTGAGCCATGCACAGCGGCCAGAGCTTCGCCCACGTTTGTCTGAGTGTACCCTGTGAAAGGCAGAAGAGAGCCTCAGCGCCAGCTTCCCCAGGAGTGTCAGTGGACCTGTTTGCATTCAGATCGCTTGATATTTGTCAATGATTACTTTATAAAATTCTAGAGTTTGGTAATTTAGAATTATATAGTCAGGCTTGGCATACGAATGCAAAAAGCATAAAAATTAACCTCTAGTCAATAAATGGCTTTTTCTCTAAAAGTCAAGAAAATTCAAACACGTGAACATAATAGTAATTTTGAGCAGGTTCATTGCATGTGTCATAAACACTTGATAATGCAGTTGAAATTTCCTGTTTTCTTATCATGCTTATTGAACATCTGATGACACATGCTCAAAATATTTGTTATATCAATGATAATGACAAAATGTCTGGTGATATATCATAGATATTTTATTCCAAATATGAGTGAAAATATCAATAGTGTTAACTGAGCGAAACTAAGCTTGAGGCTTACTTTCCCTAAAACATTTCATTCAGGAAGGCTATGGGCATACATGTCATACATAACTCCAAGCATATTTATATTATTTGATAGTACATCTATCTCTAGGCAAAAGATCCTTATTGATTGCCACAATGTTTCTAGAATATAAGATGAAATAAACCATCAGCATGTAATTTTAAACATTTACAGCATTATAAATTGAAGTGAAAATGAGCATAATAAAAATGTCTACAGCTCTGTATCACAGGTAGTCAGTACATATTATTTCAGGGCCTACAGCTATATATCAATATGTATAATATAATTGCATATGATATGCATCAATAATTGCCATTATAAAATTACCTATGGCACCTTGCACAAGTTTCGTGGTTTGAACTATCATTTCAACCCATTAAAATACATTTTTTTCATGAATTTGACCAACAGTTATTATCATTTTATGTTAAAAATACTTTTCAAAAGAAATGAGCAGTGGTTTTGAATACGTACTTTACAGAAAAAGGAAATACAAATGATTGTTGAACACAGGAAAGAAAACTCACTAATAATTTAAAATGAAATTTAACATATTTTTAAATGAAACTACACTGAGATAGCACTTTGTCTTATCTGAATTGAAATATTCCAAAGTTAAGTATACATTGTTCCTTCCACAACTATTTATTTATTTCATATTATTGTCATGTTCTATATGTTGGAATCAGAAGGGACACTCCTGGTTGTAGTAAATAGAGAAGAGTTGACGACACCTATCAAAATATGTTAGTCTCTGACCAATAATTTTGTATCAGCATTTCTTCTATCCATATGTTTAAATAGATGCAATCTGGCATTTATAGGGTTAATCACTGAGCCATTGTTTTCATTACTGAAAGGTTAGAAATCACTAAAGAAAGCTAAACAAATTGTAGTGCACTTGTATTTATAATGTGGAATTGACAGAGCCGTACCTCCCCCCCCCCAAAGAAAATGAACTCTAGAAAAACTGAAAGCTTTCAAAACACATCTGTATTGAAAGAGTATATGCATTTGCTTATACATATATAAGATCTTACTAAAAAGATACACAGGAAACTAACAATGTTGAATAAGAAAGACAAGCAATAAGCAATTTCAGGGAATTAAAGTGTTTCAGTGTTTTGTTCTTTTAGCTTTTCATAATTTAACCAGCTTAAATGCAGAGCAGAAATACAGAATGAGAAGTGAACTGGATGTTCAAACAATACAGACAGAAGACTTCACAGTAAATAGATTAAGGATTTGCAAATTAAGTTGTTTGACTCTTTGCAGTTAACAAATGCATACCTAACTTAATTCTTCTCACTTTAAATTCATTGGCAAATTTCTCAAGTTCTCGGATTTCTGGGGAATCCATGTCTACTGGCTCTTCAACCAATTTACTTTTCCGCCTGAGTTCCTGCTTGAATTCAGAGGCTGTGGGGTCCTCTGCCAGGAGAGGCTGGTGTAGGGGGGGAAATCCATGACTCAAGGTGTGGTCAGGAAACTTGTAAAGACAAGGGGTTAAACTGCCTGTGGGTAAACAGAAGAGGTAAGTGCCATTGGTAATTATGTCTACCTCTGCATACCAAAGGTCTTCCTAATAGAGTCCACTTTTTTCTGTAGCCAATCTCTCTCTCTCTCTCTCTCTCTCTCTCTCTCTCTCTCTCTCTCTAAATCTTTCCCCAAGGAAGGCAAGGTTTTGGTCTATAGCCAGGCTGCCCATGACCTTGTCATTCTGCTGCCTCAGCCTCTCAGATGCCGGGATTACAGGCCATATATCCACACACTGGATATGGTTTAAACCTTCACAAATTACCTCACAATTAATCTTCCAAAGTAGCTGGTTAGTTAGAGTGGGATTAATTATCTTCCATCTTCCCCAGAGGAACAAAAACAAAGCTAATGTCAAAGGAGAAGACATTTAAAATAACTAAAAGAGAAATATTTCACAATTCCCTGAGTGTAGGATTTCAATATTCCTGAGACTCTGAGACCCAACTCTAATCAGAGTTTTTATATTTGTTGATCTCTATCTTCTTAATTACAAATAACAGAATGTTTATTACGACCAAAGAGCTAAGTGTTTTAAACTATATGCTATACTGAAAAATATTCCTATGATTGGGAAATTAATCTTACAATATTAAAAAAACACAGTGTTTTATTAGTAAGTGCTTAATTTCTACTGGAAAATAAATGTCTTTTAATTTTGATAATTACAGATAAATATTATGAGATTAAAATTCATTAATGTAGTTAAAAATTTCAGTGAGTCAGCATGACAAGGATTCTTGAAAAGTATAGAATCTAATGGAATCACTTTTTTTGAATATTATTTAAGGAAAAGAAAAACAAATACAAAGGAGGGGACAATTCTAGACATGAAAGAAATTATCCATAAAAGATGAAGCATTGACTTGACTTCATTATATTATACATCATAAAAGA